ACCCAATCATTTCACCTCTAAATTTCTTGCATTATCTCACACATGAGCTTTTGAGGCACACCTCATATCTAAAACATAACAATGCTAGATATTCAATATTAGAAGAGTGAAAATGAATGGCACAATGAAATATCACTGCATATCTACTCAAAGAGCTAAAACTTTAAAAACTGACTATTCCATGTATTGACAAGAGTATAGAGGCATTGGGACTCTTGTACCCTGACAGGTGGGAATAAAAAAATGATAATCAATTTAGAACACAGTTTGGTAATTTCTTCAAAAAGTTAAATACACATCTATCATGTGATTCAGTCATTCCACTCCTAGACGTTTACCAAGAAAAGCTAAAATACAAGTTTCTACAAAGACTTGTATAAGAATATTCATAGCATCTTAATTTGTAATAGTCAATAACTTGAAATGTCCTTCAAGTGGGTGCATGGTTAAAAACCGTAGTATATTAATACAATGGAAAACTACTCCCCAATAATAAGGAATGAACTATTGATACATGCAACAATATGCAGGAAGCTCAAAATAATTAAAGAATACATACAATATAATTCCATTTACATAAAATTCTAGAAAATGCAAACTGATTTATAGTGACAGACTGCAGGGTGATAGTTCTGTGGGACAGGAAATCAGGTGAGGAACCTGAGACAGAGGGATTACAAAAGGGCCCAAGGAAACTTTGAGGAATTATGTACATGGTTACTAATTTGATTGTGGTCATAGTTTCATGTGTGTATAAACATGTCAAAACTTGCCCAATTGTACAACTTTTGAATATGTGCAATTTTGTACATGTTAATTATACCCCATTAAGACTAATTCTTAAAACTCTTTTAATCTTAACTGTTCTATTTGTAACTGCCCCCAAAGAGTTTCTTTGATGAGATAGCATCTTAACACACATTTTTCCAGACTTTAAAAATTTTTATTCAATATTTGTGTGTATTACTATTTGCTTAATTTGACTATAAATAGGATCATGCTGAACATACTAATTGCTAAGCTGTTTATTCACCTAAATATATCTCATTATTGGAAATTCACTTGCAGTACCATTCCTGGTGATCACTTCACTTGACTGCAAGCTCTCTGAGGGCAGCTAGTTCACTGAATTGGTAAAGAGCAGTAGATCAGGACTCAAGATCCTACAGTCAAACCAAGAGCTGACCTTCCCTTCACTGCATTTCACTGGGCTTCAGTTTTCACTTCCGTAAAATGAGTAAGTTAAACTGTTTCCTCACCAAATTTCCATTTAGCTAAAAATTATCTGATTTTATGATCTTTGACTTCTTGCTGTGCCTTCTGCGGAGATCTGTATAGATCAGGCACTCAGTAAATGCTTACTGAATGAGGAATTTTTTCCAGTGGAAAAGTTTATATCCTAAGCCGAAGTGTGGCATATTTTATGAATCATTCTAAGATTAGCAGACTGTAAAATCTCTCCTCGAGACTTTAATATGCAATAAAAGAGTCAAAGCAGGTGCATAACCTTCATAACACACAATAAAAATGACAGATAGGAGAAGAAAACAATGAGCTGTGGAACAGGGGCCAAAAAGGGTCATCGAGCTTCCCTCCTGAACTGCATCTGGAACCAATCTCCAGTTCACCACTTCAGCCTTCCTTCTCCTTCCATCACCCCCACCTTACGATCAGGAGTTCATGTGCATGTGTACAGACTTCCTAGACTGCAAGTCTAAGCTTCAGGCACAGCCCCTGCAAACAGCTGCCCCTCAGGAAAAGGGTGGGCACACCCAGAGCTTTGAAACTCACGCAGTACTGGTCCATTCTCCCAAAAGCCAACTTGCCCATGGGAGTCCACTTGCTCTTGGTTGTACCCCAGTGCCTTCAAGGAACAGATGTACGTGTGTGTGTGTGTGTGTCTCCAAATTTTATAACTACTATGTGTAGGATAGTTGCTCCTCTTTTGCACCACAGCCTCTTGCTGGGTCATGAGATGACTCTGTCACCATCTGTCTGTTCTGTTCCCATTATTTAAAAAAAGCAAATTTAGGTTTTGCCTCTCAAAATAAGCCCCTTGCCTTTGGGATGAGTGTCCTGCTGGCTCTGAGACCTGTGGCTTTGGACCTCTCCCTGTTTCTCCTACCTGTGTCCTGCTTGATCTCCATTGCTTTTAGAAACTTCACCTGCTTAATATTTTCCCACTAAAATAAAGTTTGCATTCTATCCTGCTACCTTTATTCTCTGTCTTGACACTAGAACTGGCAAAGATTCATGCAAATATAAGACAGGGACAAGGCAGAACTATCACCAGTGGTTAATGGAACACTTACTTGTTAAATGGCCCCAAGTGCAATAAACAAGCTATGGCCCTAATCAGAGGTTCTATACCAGGACAGTTGGACATCTATGACTACGGCTACATAGCACATTTGCCACCAGCTTGGACAGGTAAACTAACCTTGCTTCCCCCTAAGAGGACTTCCTGTGTACAATTATGCTTCCCAAGAAGGGACTGTGAAAACTCACCACTAGGTCCAAATGATAAGGTATGAAAACAGAAGCTATTAGAAAAAAAATTACAGGCATAATGTAATAGAGTGCATACAATCCCATGAGTCTCATCATGCCAAGCTTAGGCCAGGCATAGGGGTCTATAAGCATAGTGAGACGAAGGAACAGAGGTGAATAAGCATAGAGGTCTATAAGCACAGTGAGACATGCCTCTTTGAGGGCATGTCCCCATGACCTAAAATCTCCATTAGGCCCCCTAAATACATGGGCAACTGGTTATTTCACAATTAAAGGTTCCTGCCATCTGTGATAGCACCAAATGGAGGACCAAGATCCTTTAATATGTAAGTCTTTGGGGGGACATTTTAGATTGAAACTATAGCACCAATCAGGCTGTGATGGGATTTTTACTACAATAATTGTAGTTGCTACTCAATATGAAGACAGTTGCCTTACAGCCATAAAGTCATTGGGCATCCATTTCCACATCTCTAGAAAAAGAGGAGCAAGAGGTTGAGGCTGATGGTATTCGATAATGATTATCTATTAAAGTGAATTTAAAAGTCGAAAGATATGATGCCACTTCTAAACTCATTCTGCTGTTATTAAGCTCTCAGGTTTAGTTATACACACCACACTTGATGGGACTAGGTGACCTGTAAGGCCCTTAGGATCTTGAGACTTTATTCTATGACCAGCAGAATAATTATTTCCATAATTTGGTAAAAAAACAGTTGACCACCAGAGGGCAGTACGATTACAAGGCAGTAAGGCCTGATGGGGCCACAAAAGGACAGTGCACCACAAATGAAGTGCACCTGTGACTTTTAAACTCCACAAAATTTATTGACTGTCTTGATAATTTGTGTGTCCAACAAATAACAATGACCTCTAACAGCTCACAGCCCAAATATACAACTTAAAGAAAGGGTGGATGCCCATTCCCATTCATTCTGAGTCTGTATTAAGCACTTTCTGAGTGCCAGGCACTGTTCTAAGAATTCAGGATTCATCAGCTAACAAAGAAAAGACCAGTAGACCAGTAGAACTGACATGGGGTAGGAAAGTACCTATTAGAAAATGAGGTCAGGGTTAAAGAAGGCAGATCATGACCAGCTGCAAAAGCTACTGTGAGGACCATGGTTTTTACTCAGTGAGGTGCAGTGATGCAGGATTTCATGCAGAGACATTTTCAAAGGGTCACCTGGGCTGAGAGCTGGGAATAGCTTCAAAGAGTTTCATCTCCTATAGAAGCTTCATAATATTCAGCTTATCAGCTCATCCAAAAGCACAGTGAAGGGCAGTTAAAGGTAGGCATATTGCTGTCACCATTTAGCAAACAGCAGTGAGTGTGTCCACATGTATCCCTTCTGTGCCACATGCAAGGCCTTGTCCCAAGCATTTCACACACTTCTATGACATCCTCTCACTATTATTAGCTCCAAGTTAAAGAAAAAGGAGATTGTGCAAATTAGTGACTTGCTAATAGGTTTTCAGATTAGCTAAATGCAACTCACAGAGATCATGGAGACTTTAAATACTAATGTGAAAAAACACTTCCTAAACAGGGTTTAGCATCTCCATAGGAAGACCTGAAGATAATGTTGGCAGGGGACTGTGAGGGGCATGAAAGTTTGAGTTAAACCTTCTTCATTTTTAAGTTCTGTTTAGATACTACATCTCAGACTTACCTGCACTGTAACTAGGCTGATTTTCTCGTAGAGTGTGGTGTCTCTGCATACTGTTTTGTAAAGGCAGGAGGTTTTAAAGGAGACAGTATCCACCACTGAACCCTGTTTTTCTTTTAGACCACAATAGTTTCAAAAACAATTGGTTAGGGCTGCATTCAAACCTGAGAACCAGTGGAGGTAAGCAAAAACTTCGATAACCATTTTAAAGATTAACTTTGTGACAGCTGAATCTAATACAAATTTGGGTTTGCATTTAGTGTAACTTCTATTTTATTTTTATAGCATTCGAGAGGCTGCATATATAACGATAATGACCAGACCATAAATAAAACTGAATTCTGACCCACAACCTGCTGCAACCTGCGCAGAGAGCTCTTTGTCTACAACCGCTCTGCTGTCCAGTCACACCTGCAGGGAGCCAGACGGCGGTCTTTAGGAGCAATCCAAGAAGATGAACAGGAACTCACATACAAACCTGCCCCGAACGGCACGGATTTAATTAATAACTTAATTTTCCTAATTTTGCCCATGCTTCCAGTTTAGGACTAACCAAAGACAGCGGAACGCCCTCCTCCGCCAGGCCCACCCTGAAGCCCGCCCACTCCTCTGCCTGCCTCAGGGTCATGCCCAAAGACAAGGGCCGGGGGCTAGACTTCAGGAGCAGCCTCTCCCCAGCCGCGGCAGCGTCTGGAGTCGCAGCGGAAGAGCCGGATGGGCGGAGCTTCTGCGCACGCCCTCTGCGCACGCGCGCGCTCGGGCCCACCCCACGTGGAGGTGACGTCACGTCCGGCGGCCGGGGCGGCGGCGGCGACGGCGACGGCGTGGGGTAGTGGCTCCGGGTCTGGCCGAGAGCCGGCAGGTGTCCCAGCTGCCTTCCCGCGCTGGCTGGGACTCGCCCCCCCGCTCGCTCGCTGGCCCTCTCGGTGTCCGCCGGCCTGGCTTCCGCCGCCTCCCCGGGACCTCTCAGTGTGAACCCGGTGTGCTCCCATTCCTGGAGGTGAAGCATACCTGACAGGGACCGCGGGACCTGCGGTCTGGGGCCAGTTGTGTTTACCTTTCCCACCGGGCGGACGCTCGCAGCAGGAGGTGTAATGGACAGTGTTTCCTTCAAAAGGGCCTTTGCCTTAATAGTACAGTCTAAGAATGCTTGTCCTCAGGCCACAGGACCTTATCGTTGTGCAGCTGTTTGAATGCTTTTAAAAAAATAAATCTTCAAACTCATTCTGCATGTTAAAGAGTTACTTTTTTTGTTGATTTTTTTTTCTTTTTTTTTAACATCTGATGGGTCGTCAAAGCTCAGTGTCCTTTAGAATTGATTTTCCTAAATGAATCCTAATCTTGTGTCTGAATCGGTTTAGAAGCTATCTGTTCAGTAAGGACAAAACTCCTTTCTGGTCATTGGGAACGTCTAAAGATTTTTAACTCTTGAAGACTTACTTTTTTTTTTTTTTTTTGCACCAGCACTTTAAGCATTTGGGTAAGGCAGTGCAGTAAGTTTTTGGAAAGTGGATTACATTTTTACTGTCCTTGAAACACCAAATTAATTCCATTTTTTCTTGACTTACCATCAATATTATGATGTCAATATTTTGAAAGAACTGGAGGCCACTGAGCAGTTGAATTCTCTTGCCAGATTTTAAATCGTTTTTTCTGCCTCTAACTCTGGTATCACTTGTCAACTGCCTAAATTCCTTACCCTCTTCTGGTTATAATTTACTGCTGTTAATCTGTTGTGGGTTTTGAATTTTGATAATTACATTTGCTAGAACTGTGTTTCGAGTAAAAGAGAAATAAGGGAAGGACTTGTGTCTTTTTACTTTTACATAATATCTCATTTTGCAAAATGCCCATTTTAGAAAGCACTGCTAAGAAAGAAAATTAAAATCATCCGGGATCTTAGTACAGAAAGATAGCCATTGCTAGCATTTAGAAATATAGTCTTAATTTTTAAAATTAATAAAAAATCATAGTCTTTGGCGAAAACAAAGCCAGAATTATAGTTTATACTGTTTGGAACCCCTTCTGATAACATATCTTATCTGGTCTTCCCATTTCACTAATTTTTTTCTTTGCACATTTATAATAGACATAGAATATTCCATTGTGCTAGGAGCTCTAATAAGTAAAAATAGGAACCCTAGTGCATAAACCTTGTGCCATCTATTTAAGCAGAGGATTGTTGGCTTTTGTTTTGGTTTTTGGTCAAGGTGCTTAGATGAAACAGTGTTAGAGTTGTGTGAATGGAAAGATTTAATATTGAATCCTGTGCAAGGGGAGGCAGTTTATCTAACTAATTGAAAAGGTGGAGAAAATCATTGAAAAATTGCCTAAATTTTCATTCTTTGTTTCTAGGCTCACTTATTTATTTGTTTTCCTATGTCTGTCTCTTTTTCCTCCAAGAATGAAACATGACTGAGGACTCTCAGAGAAACTTTCGTTCAGTATATTATGAGAAAGTGGGGTTTCGTGGAGTTGAAGAAAAGAAATCACTGGAAATCCTCCTGAAAGATGACCGCCTGGGTGAGTTTTATATGTTTAATTAAGCTCATTGATTCTCAGTCATTCTAGGTGTTCTAAAGTAAATAATTACCTTAAAAGATATCGAGAGGTCAAGGCCTCGGGCTCAACCCCAGTACCACTACCCCCCCCCACACACACACAATCCAGGGTGTTATTGATACATTTGTTCGTGACATGGTGACAGATTGGTATATTTTGAAAAAAGTTGTAGGTTTTTCAGACTTATATTTAACTGAGAGCCAGAAGCTTTTGCATGGCCTCTTAAAAAGTCAAGACTGTTTTTTCTTATTATGCCTGCATATTTTCTTGAATTTCAGATATGTCATCATAACTTCTAGGTAAACTTCTGCAACAACTCATATTCTTTTATGGAAATAATAAGGCTGCATTATATATTGATATTTTAGGCTAGTAATAATAAAGCCCACCATTGATCAAAGTGGAACAAGCTAAACCATAGTTAAAAATAATATCTTATTTACATGAGTAATTTTTGTTTATTTGTTTTGCAGGGCTGGGATTGACTCAAGGGCCTTATGCATGCTAGGCAGGCAAGCCATTACTGAGCTACATCCTCAGCCCATCTGGAGTGCTTATAAAGTTTCAAAAATGTTTATCATCTGGTCATTAGTCCTCATTATATAGTCTGTGTTTTAAGTATGCTGGCATTAATCTTCTCCTTTAATAAGTAGAGAAATAGAGGCTCATAGCTGTTAAGTATAATTTATCAGGATTTTCAGGCTAACTATACCACTAGAAGCTATCGGAACTTGGCAGAGTCACTTAACTACCTTGAGCTTCAGTTTCTGCATCTTTAGGACTGTTATTACCCAACATGCTTGTAGTATGGATTAAATGAAATAAATCCTATAATTTTAACTGCTACCAATATTATAGGGAATGTAATAATATATGCCAAATATCTCTTTTATGCCATTGATTATAATTGTTTTGAATAGCTAAGTTGTTGGAAGACCTTATCTAAAAACCAGACCAATATTGCCTTGCCTCTCCTAAATTTGCCGATTCCCCTGAAGAAATGTCTGAACTGTACTTTCAGATTTAAAAAGTGAAATGCATTTTACGTACTGTGATGAGCATGAAAAGCATCTAACTACTGTTTCATTCTTCTTTAGATATTGAGAAACTTTGCACTTTCAGCCAGAGGTTCCCTCTTCCATCCATGTACCGAGCGTTGGTATGGAAGGTGCTCCTAGGTACGAAACCTAGGAGTTGGTAAATGTATCTTCAAAAATATTGAATATTGGGATCATTTTTCATCCTCCAGTCAGAACAAGGAAGATTTATTTGTTGTTTTTTTTTTGCTGTATCTTGGGTCTTCCTCAGAAGACTGCTCACTATAAAACCCTTTAAGATGGTAACTTTAGCAGCAATACATTAAATATTACTCTTGAGTATCAATTTATTAGTAATGCAAAATAAAGTTCCTGAAATAAAATGTGGAAAGAACATTGGACTAGGAGAGAAGAGAATTGGTCTTTGCTGTCAGCCCAGAAATCTGGAGGAAGACCCAAGATACTGGGCCTCAGTTTTTGCATCTGTACAGTTAGAATATTGAGCTAAATTGCTTGTAGATTTCTGTGAGTCTCAGTAGTGGAGATATAACATCCTGTCCAGTGCTATTGGAGTCAAAAGGAGTCACTCTACTAGAAGTGTGAGTGAGTCACTTTCAGTGATGAGTGGCAGAATGAGAAGAACTGACTTGCTTAGTTTCTCTGGAAGAAAAGGTACCAAAAGTAGCTGGCAGCATCCCCTTGGCGCCCAAGATTTTTTTCCCTACCATTACTGAGCCGACTGAAGCACATAATACATATTTATTATCACCTCCCATTTTTTCTTAAAAAACAATTCAAATTTGTCAGCTCTGGGATAGTAGTACTTTATCAGGAATAGGAACTATTACTGTTATTTGCTGGGCCTCCCTGTGTGCCTGTCACTCAGCTGAGTAGTGTACCTAAGTTATTCAGAGTAACCCAATACAGGGGTAGGCCTCTGTATCCCGTTTTAAGTGTGCAGAAAATGACTTGCCTAAGGCCTCAGAGCCCCTGTCAGGAGATAGAGCTGGGGCTTAAGCTTTTTGTAGAGCTCACTTGAAGGTAGGCTGGATTATGAACCTCACTTTCTTTTTTAAATGTGTATATTTTCAGGGCTTGCAAAACCTGCAGTCCTAAGTGTGGTTGAATAATATGGAGGCAGAGAATACCGCCCAGGAAGCACTGCACAATGACACTTTGTTGTGCAGCTTTCAGCCTTTGTGCACTCATAATCTACAGATGTGGGGACAACTGTTTGGGTTTTTGTCTGAGTGTTTTTGCCTAAATCGTACTATTTCCAGGGACCATCAAAATAAATTCCTTCCAAGGTGGCAGGGTTCAGTTCTGCTGGGAAGTACCACATGTCTTAGTGACTCCAGTGGATTAGTCAGTACCCTTGTGCTCTGCAGCGTTCCTGAGTGCCAGGGCCTATCGGGCTTATCCTCACCTCTGTTTTTCTTACCTTTATCATGTAAGTCATTGCTCTGTTTGGAGTTAAAGGCACTGGGAATTTAGAGCTGTCACATTAACAGCTTTTTGATTTTTCAGGGATCTTTGGATGCTGGCTTCCTGGTAACATTTTGGGTAAATGTTAGAAACTTTTTAGAACCAACTCTTAGAAAACAGGTTTAAGACTTAATGTGGGAAGCACTGTGCTGCTGTTAATGGTGTGAAGAAGGTCCAGCTACAGCTGTCTCATGTGTATCAGCCCAGATGTGTAGAACTCTTCAGTGTGTCCCCTGGCTTCTCTGAAAGCCTGCATGGAGCCCTGAAGCTACGGTGCATGTAGGTTCATTTCAGGAAAAGGAACATTTAAGTAGGTTTTTTAGCTAGAGACTTTGAGCTCATCTAACTGCTGTTTCTGGAATGTTCTTTGGAATTCTGGATCTATGGTGCTTTGAAGAGGGAGCCATAGTCAAAATGCTCATCCTAGCTTAGCCTGCCCAAGCTTTATGTACACTGATCTGTGTATTCATCACAACAGCTGTATAGAATTAGGGGTTACTGTTCCCATCGTTCAGATGGGGAAGCTAAGGCATAGGGAGATGGAGAAAATTGCTGCAGGTCCCCCAGTCAGTTAATTGTAGAGCAAAAAATTAAACCCAGGAACTTCGGCTCCATAGTCTGTGCTTCTGTACAGCCTGGTTCACTGAGTGAGGCTGGAAAAAGTAAAGCTGAAAGCCTTGAAAATTCATTGTCCTCAGATATACTTAGTAGCGATGGTACTTTTTCTTATGAGGACTCTTGGGGTGCTGATTCTGCAGAGAACTTTCAGTTAAGTGTTTGCCCACTTCCTGCCTCTGATAGATGAGGAGACACGTGCAGAGGGACTGACATTATTGTGAGAGTCCTGGTGTTAGCACGTCTGGGAGAAGACCCTAGCATTACTGTCCAGTGGTCTTTCCTGTATATTTTTTTCCATATCATTTGCTTGTTAAAAAAAGAAAAGAAAAAAGACGTGGTTCTTATGCCAAAGCTAATGAGTAGATCCCACATTTAATGTAGTGATGAGCATAAAATGTCATGACGATGAAGTATAAGTTGACCTCGTCAAAGAAGATCAGGGACTTGTGTGGCCCTGAACATTTGATATTTTGTGAATAAGTTTTAACTATTGGGAAGAGAAGGATTCAGCAGACTGTTGGTGTTTCTGAAGTACAGGAGGCCAAGTGCCAGATCCAGATAGAGGCCTTTAAAAGTTAACAGTGGCGCGGGCTGACAACCCAAATTGATTTAAACCATTATTATAATTGATGTGGTTATTATCTTGAAATCATGTGGCATACTTATTCAAATGCTTTGGTGGTGTCATTTCATTTCTCTTTAATACTAATGATGTGTCATCATTCAAATGTTGATAGCATTTAACATTTCAGATTGTTACAGTGAGAAATTATAAAGAATCTATATGGTAACTAAATATTTGTGTGGATTCTAGTCTCTCATGAGCTGCTTCTTATACGATTCTTTTAATACAAAAAAGATTTGGAGTGGTGTCTCAGGGTTCTGCCTTTGTTTTCCTTTTGGGTCTCTAGGGATCCTGCCTCCACACCATGAGTCTCATGCTCAGGTAATGATGTACCGCAAGGAGCAGTATTCTGATGTCCTTCATGCTCTGAAAGTCATTCGCTTCGTCAATGACGCTACGCCTCATGTTGAAGTCTATCTCCGCATGTATCAGCTGGAGTGTGGGAAGTTGCCTCGAAGCCCCTCTTTCCCACTGGTTAGTGATCACTTTTGCTCAACACATAGCCCAACTCTTGACTGTCCCGTCTGCCAGCCTTTGATTGCATGAGGTTTGCCTTAGAAACTTTCACTGACGCCCCATTGTGAGTAGCATTAATAGCACATCTTTATCTGGCATCCATGACCTTGCACATTCTGACCTTGTGTACTTTTTAAAAATACAGTTTAAGTACGGTCATACATTGCTTACCAACAGGGATACTTCTGAGAAATGTGTTGTAAGGCAATCTTGTTGTTATGCAGACATTACCGAGTATATTTACTCAAACTAAGACCACCGTGACCAGGCAATTTAATCTTATGGGACCACCATCATATATTGGGTCTCTTGCTGATGTAATCATGTGGCACTTGAATGTATACAAACCTATAGAAAAGTTGCAAGAATATTATCAAGAATTCCTGTATACTGTTTTTTCTGATTCCCATTGTTAACATTTTATGGCATCTGCTTTGTCATTTTTCTTATAAATCCACACATACTCCTTTTTTTAAACCATTTGAGAGTAAGATGTGGACATGATGTGCCAGATATCTTCACTGTGTACTTCTTCTTTTTTTTTTTGGAAATAAAGGATAAAATAGGTTTATTGCTTTGCTGGCAAAGGAGAAACACAGGGGACTCCTGTCCCAAAGGCTCTCCCAGTCAGGAGAGTTTTAAAGGATCCCGTGGAGGGTTACATTCCAGGTGTGCTCTAGTAGGCAGTCCCAGGGCACCCTGATGGCTTGTTAGGATTCTTTGGGAGATATTCACTTCCCAGATCCTGAGCAGACGTCTCCTTCCTGTAGTGGGTGTGTTCAAGGGCACTTAACTAGGGGAAGAAAAGATAACACTGTCTCCCTAATCTTGGTAGGGAGGGTGAGAGGGGAAAAGAGAGAAAAAAAACATTAAAAAAAAAAAATAAGCCTTAGAGCCATGAAGGCTACATTCAGAAAGTGAAGGGACCACTGTTACATTTCCCCACTGTCAATTTCTACCTTCCATTTCTGTGGAAAAGTGGGCAACGATATCTCTGAGCTACTTTGTGCTGAAAGAGGGCGAAGTTGGGGGGAAGTGACCCAAAGTCCTTGTTTTCTGTCGGGTGGGGCATGGACAGTTAAGGATATTCAGCATCACAGCAGTCCAGAGGTTCACGGTGGCAGTTGGACAGGGTATACATAGGCAAGGTTTATGCCAGGACAGCAATAAAGAAGACAGCAAAGGGTTACTTTTTTGGTGAACAATTAATATGAAAACAACTATATTTCAACCAGTTTTTGGAATGCAGGCCACTGTATGCTTCTCGAAGACAAGAACACCCCTATAAAATAATCCTAGTACAGTCATCAAAACTAAGAAGTTAACATGGATAGAATATTAACATGTAATCTACAGACTTCATTCAAACTTGACAATTTTTCCCAGTAATGCCCTTTGTCACAAACAATGAAAGTTCTGGATGAGGATTGATTTTGAATTATGAATTGCATTGTGTTGTCATGTTGCTTTATTCTCTTCAATTTGGGACAATTTCTTCAATTTTCTTATCTTTCATGCTTTTGACATTTTGAGGGGTATAGGTCATTTTGTAGAAAGCCCCTCACTTTAGGTCTGGCTGATGCTTCCTCCTGACGAGATCCAGGATGTCCACTCAGTGGGAATACCACATGGGTCATGCACGTCCTTCTCCATGTGTTGTATCAGGAGGCACAGAATGTAGATTTGTCCCATGAGAAGTAATGCTAGCGTTGATCACCTGGTGATGGTGTGCCTGCTGGGGTTGGCACTGGAAAGTTATCGTTCCCTTTGTGGAGACTATAAAACTACTACATGATTTTGTGTGTGTGTATGTGTGAGAAATTTTTTAAAAATTTTAAATTTACTTATTCTAATTTGTTATACAAGACATCAAAATGCATTTCAATTTGTAGTACACAAAAAGGGCACAACTTTTCCTGTCTCTGGTTGTTTACAAAGTAGAGTCACAACATTCGTGTCTTCATACATGTACTTAGGGGTAATGATGTTCATCTCAGCTACATGATTATTTCTTATTAAACTTTTGCCCATGAGTTTCACCATTTGTTGATGATTTCAAGAAGTTTTTGAATTTTAATGTTTCATATTTAAATACTTCTGGAAATAGGAAAAGTAGTGCAGCGTCCCCAGATACCTTTACCAGCATCCTCAACTGTATCGTTCATGACCCTGATGTAGTGATCAGACCCAGAAAGCTAGCCATGATGCTACTCTAGCAACTAATCTGTAGATCTTACTGAAATCTGCCGACTGTCCCACTCATGCCCTTCTTCTGATCCCAGGTGCCATGTCTTCTTTAATCCAGAAAGTTCCACAGTCTCTCTTGCTCTTTCATGATCTTGAAACTTTTGAAGAGTACTGGTGGTAGAGCTTCTCTCCATCTGAGTTGTCGGATGTTTCCTCATGATTAAAGTCTGGTTGTGCGTTGTTCAAGAAGGCCACAGAGGTGTGATGATCACTCCTGTTGCTGCTGGCCTGATCATCTGGTGAAGGTGGTGTCTGCAGCCTTCTCCACTACAGTGTTACTGTTTTCCTCTTTGTGATTAATATGTAACTTGTGGTGAGGTTGAGGCTTATAAATACCCAACAACTAATAATTCTTGTCTGAAAGTTTTTAGTCCTCTGATTGCCAAATGGTGGTTTTCTAACTCCCTTATTCCTTCTGTGCTTATTAGTTGTTTTTCTTCTATCAGGAGAACTTTTCCCCTCTCTTGCTTATAGATATCAATATGGATTTATGATCCTTTCTTATTCAGTGACCTGTAATCTTTTACTGCCCTATTTCTTTTTGTGTTCAGAATGTCCCAGATTTGGCTGGTGGGAGCACTTTGCATCTGACACCTGTGTCATTTTGACAAGTTCCCATCATTTTGCATGTTGAGCTTTCTGTGCTGCGACTGTGGTACCAGCCCTCTCTTTTTGGAGGGGATGTGATATTCACAGACCGCAAACCTGGCACTAAATGTGCTCCTTTTTTCCTGGGCTGTCTTTGTTTCCAGGCACTCTGAGCAGAAGCTAGGAAATCTCTGTGCACACACTCACTCTCACTGGTATTCACCACGTCCCGTTGGTGGATGGATGGGTGGTTTTGTGTGGCACTGGGGACTGAACGCGGTACCTCACATGCTATGTGTCCTCTACATTGAGCTCGGACCCTGTACATCACATTCTTTCCTTCTTTCCTTCCATCTATCTATCTATCTATATTAAAAACCCCAAGTTCACCTGTTGGGTCTACTCCCACTCCAGTGTCTCAGGTTCTTTCTGGCTGTCACCATGTCCGTGCTCCCAGTTCCTCTGGTTGCCTATGTGGAGAGGCCCCATGATGGGGCCTCAGTGTGTTTACTTCTTTACCCATTTCCCTGTGTGTAACCAACCCTGACAGCCCCCTTGGCCCTGGCCTGCAGGCCCTTGGGCTCCTTGGCCCTGACCCTCGGGGTGCAGGTGGTCTTGGATGTTCACCGCCTCCTCAACCCTGACCTCTCGTCACCCCTCACACCTCCTTGGCCTTATCTGTTTCCTCTCCTAACCTCACTGGATCCCAACCGCTTTTTAAACTTCATCCGTAGCAAACCTTTCACTCTCATTACTTGGACTACTTACCGTTGTGAGAGAGGGAAGAGGAAGGAATAACTATAGAATCTAAGCTCTGGCTGTTTTGGTAGTCCTCTCTGGGCATTTTAATGAAGGTTTTATGTGTTTGTTTGGTCAACAGGCTGCATGGTCCAAGCAGGGATTTGTTTGAGAGCCTGGTTATTCTATAAAATGTTCATTTATTGTAGATTGGGCTTTGACTTATTTTTGTTTTTGCAGTTAATGTTGTGGAACCCATGGACAAACCTCAGAACTAATAAAGGTCATCTACTTCTACTGAATTTGTCAAGAGAGAAGATCCCTAAATAATAACTAGAACTTTTCACTTGACTGGTACAGTGGGGTTGCGAGCACCACACGAGTTCTCAACCTACACATTAGACTAGGTTAGATAATCTGGTAGCTCAAGAAACGTAAATGAGGGGCTGCAGCTCCCACCCCACCCTGTTCAACCTTTCCCGGCTCTAAGCCCTGACACCTTCATTGCAGTCTTGGGCACACATGCCGTTGGAGTGTATTTTTTGAGTGTGACACCACACCCTCCCCTGGCATAGAGCCCCAATCATTTTTTTAAAATTTTTAATCTGTGTGATTAAAAAGAATGTATGATGGTGCTTGGCCAGGAATGTGATGCCTGAAGGGCATAGGTCCTCTTCCCTTAAAGAGGAAGTAGTCAGGGACGTGCCAGTTCTGGGGCCACCTTGCACTGTGCCCAGGGCTGCCTGGGAACCCCAGAAAGGAGATTTTTCTCTCTTTTTTTTCCTCTCCTTCTCTGAACACATTTAAAAAAAATGGTTAGGGAAATTTATTCTCTATGATCCTAGCTCTGCTACTCTTGACATTTTATGAATATTAACAAGTTGGAAGAAGTCTTAAAAATGAGATACTTTTTAATAAAATGAGACTTTCCAGGGAAGTAGAATGATACTTACTAGTTTCTTTTTAACATTAAAATCCTTCATACATGAAAGCTGAGGTGAAAATGTAAAACTTTTGTAGATAATAATGGTGTTTTAAAGCAAAGCACATTTCCACATAAGGTTCTAGTAATCTTATAGATTACTCTGTTGAAATTTACTTGAGGGTTTACTTTCAGATCTGGGTGTTGATGCATACTTTGAGAAATGCCATTGTTTTGATTCCTAAAGTTCTGATTCTAAGGATATTAATTTTTTAGATGCTTGAAGTTAGAACAAAATTCTCAAGGCATGTATGGATGCTTTGAAATACAGTAAAACCTTAGTTTCTTGAGTCCTTCAGTATTTACAAATTACTGTATTGACGATCTCTTTGGGTACTGTTTGTTCTATTGATCACATCTGTTTGAAGAATTTTCATCCAGCTCTGAGAATATTTTGGGGTGGAGAGTCAGGGCCTTGCTCATAATGGACATTGACTTGTGATGGGTTAGGGTTAGAAGTTGGAGAATTTGTGTGCTCAACCTGGAACCCAGCTGTTGATGAGCTACGCTGATTGGAGTGGATTCCTGTGGACGCCCATGCTCATTTCCCCCTTGCTCTGCTCTTTACCGGTGAACTCTGCTTTTTGATCCCACTTTGATTTATTAATGCAGCCTCTTCAAAATTTAGGGGGCAAGGTTTCATTTTTGTTAAAGAAATGTGTCTTCCTCCCTTCTCCTGCGTTGCTCTTGAGACTTATTATTAACCTTGCAGGAGCCAGAGGATGAAGTATTTCTTGCCATTGCTAAAGCCATGGAAGAGATGGTGGAAGACAGTGTCGACTGTTGCTGGATCATCCGATGCTTCGTGAACCAGCTAAACAACAAGTACCGGGATTCTTTACCCCAGCTGGTGAGGGGTTGTTTTGTTTGGGGCTTTTGAGGGGTGAGCAGTGGACCTGGGGTCATCAGTGAATACTCTTACCTCCTGTCGCTGCTACAGTTAGGAGGGAAGCCTCTATTGCAGGACTCAGCAAGGTTTTCTGTAAGAGACGGATGGTAACTATTTCCAGCTTGGTGGGCCAGATGGTCTCTGTTGTAACCAGGCAGCTCTGCTGTTGGAGCACAAAAGCAAACAGCGCACTGGAGAATGGTTGGGGCTGGCTGTGCCCTGCTGCAGGCCAGAGTGTGCCAATCCCTACTCCGTGGTGTTCCTTACCCTGTTCCAGAATCCACTGAATATATTGAGAATGATCTCTCTGTGTTAGTTAAGGTGTACATATGCCTGCATATAATGGAAGCCCAAGAAGCTTGTTTTCTTTCATGTAATCAGAAGTTCAGAGGTGAGGCAGACCAGAGCTGGGACTGTCCTGCCATGGGGAAGATAGGACTTCTGCTCCTGCTGTTTCACTCCAGAATTCTTCCTCTACTGTTGCTGTTGGACTGATAGTTATGGCATCCACATTCTGGGCTGGAAAGAAGGGAAGGAAAAAGAAATGAAGGAGGAACTGGGTGTGGTGGTGAATGCCTGTAATCCCAGTGGCTTGGGAGGTCAAGGCAGAAGGATTGCAAGTTCAAGGCCAGACTAGACAACTGAGCAAGACTGTGTGTCAATGAAAAGGGTTGGGGATGCAGCTCAGTGGTAGAGCACCCCTGGGTTCAAGCCTAGAATGGAAGAAAAAGAAAAGGCAAAGGAGGAAGAGGGACATGTCTGTCCAGCCTGCCACCCTTAAGCAGATTTCCTTCTGCATGTGTGCAGGGACTCTTCTGGTAAGGTAAGAAAGTCTCCAGTCAGGAGGTGTTTCATACACTTTACTTGCTGGACACCAGAGCTCCGCAGCCTGTGCACTGAGTGTGGGGGTCACCTTCAGGATCGTGGGCTTCTTGGGTGAGGGCTGTCGGACCACATGGCGATGTCCTGGGAAGTGGTCCAGAGACAGAGTTTGAAGGACAGTTTCCACTGGATGCATATCATTTCACACCATCATAAAGTGAAAGAATCTTAAGCTAAGCCATCATAAACTCGGGGGAGTCTGCTGCTGGCCTCCACCTGCTCTGGATTCTGGGAAACATGGATTTTAAAAGCTTGGCACATGTTCATCTCCTGTTAAAATGGGGTGCAGTTAGTGAAGGAGGGGGTGTGTGGACGCGGGGCAGGCACCAGCTCTCTGCGCCGTGCCCTGGCTTGGGAATCCTGACAGCCAAAGGGCACTAGCTTGAGGGGTAAGCCAGTCTCCCTTGACCATTCTCTTTCTTCCCCCCTTAGTCAGCTAGTGTATAGGAATGAATCTGTCTGTTTTCCTTGGTTATTGAGTTGTTCATTTGAAGGTTGTACGGATGTGGTTACTGTGCTCTGGGGGGAGGGGGAATGTGGGGTGATGGTGGAGGCAGGTGAGCCCTGAGGATCACTGCTGGAGTCCAGTACTGACCAAGAGGGAGGGCCATGGGCCCTTCAACTTCATGGAGCTTTTATGAGAACAGTTAATATGTATTTCAGTTAAGTAAAATTTGATTTTTAGGGTTCTAAAATTTGATCCACCTAATTGATTTCAATAAAAATAACTGAATCATGGAAAGGGAGCATAAGTAAATGTAATGCTAATTAAATCAGAAGATCTCAATTATATATGGTTTAATTAGCTTTTCTTGTTTAATATAGGAGTCACTGGCATTATTTTTAGGAAGGTAAGTAGTATATGAACATATTCTTAAAAGAAGTTAAATAATCCACATGGATCTCTGATTTCCTAAATCTTTACCACCTGCCCCCACTCCCTTACCTTCTCTAAGCAGTAAACCTTGCTGTCACCTGGTGAGTATTCTTCTAGACTGTCACGCACACACATGTGTAAAGTGATGTTAAAAAATCACTTAAGTAGTATCATTCATGTGCATGTGGCCCTATAGTTCTTGGGTTTGTTTTTATTTTTAACGTAATACTTAGAGAAGTTTCCACGTTGGTACAGATAGTTTTCAGACCTGGCTTCTTTCAGTACACCCAGAAGCTTTTCAAAATTCCTGCCACCTTTTGTCCTTCACCCAGGCCAGTTTTATCAGTCTCTAGAGGTGGGGTGCTAGGGTGCTAATTTTTCAGAAGCTGGAGGCAGTTCTGTAGTGGGAACCACTTTCCCTTCTAATTCACTCATAGTATTTCCTGTTGTGAGTTTGGCATAATGAGGAGGCAGAGCCGTGCTGACAGGAGACCCCTCTGTAAGTTCCCTGTGTGTGTGTCTCCTCTAGGTGGGGGCCTCTAAGCCAGTGTGCGGGTGAAGGGGAGACATCTTTAAAATCTGTGTGTGCCTTGTTAAAATCTTAAACTCCATGTCAGTTTATGCCCCCCAGACAGACTACGAGGTCTCCTCTTTCCAACCCCAGTGTCTGCACCTGATGGTGTCCATCTCTGAAGCATTTGTCCATCTGCTGGTGAAGTGCTTCTCATGTTCAGTTGCGTATCTGCAGTGTTGGGAGAGGTCGAGCAGTTTGCATATTTCTGGTTATTCTTTCCTTTCAGGAATCATGAGCATAGTCTGGAAGTCTATCCTTTACCTATTGCACAGGTTGGGAATCATCCCCGTCTGTTGAGTAAGACTTTTAAGATTTGATAAAGTGGAGTTTCAGTATTCTTTTGCTTGTTTTATATGTTAAAACAACCTTTCCATCCCAAGATTTAAAAACATATTTTCTTTTAACATTTAAAAAATGCTTAACATTTTCAATTTAGTCTCCCTTCCCAGGGATTTCTCACTGAGAGGTATCAGACAGACACGACTCTTTTATACCTGCCTACAACACCACAGTCCTACCAGCGCCCCCTCTCCCCCTCTGTTTAGCACACTGAGAATATTCTTCATGTCAGGAGTGCTAAATTTCCTTATTAACCAATTACTTCTTTTCAGCATGTCATCTCTGTGTTTACAGAAGAGAATACTGAAGCACAGAGAGATTCAGTCATTTGCCCAAGGTCACACAGTAACTAGCAGAACACACTACTTTTTCCCCTCACAGATTCAAAATGCCATCTTTATTATATATGGCATCGCTGCTTGTATTTGTACCTCTTTTCCAGGTTCTTTTTTCCATGGAGTTATTTATCTACTCCTAGGCCAATACCACATAGTTCAGTTAATACAGATTTCTATTATATTTTGATAACTGGTAGGAAAAGTTTCCTCTTTCTTTTTCAGAAATGTCTTGGATATTCTTGAGTTTTCTTTTTAGGAATGAATTTTAGAATGGGAAAAATACTAAAGTCCCATAAACCTTGATCTCCTCATTGGTAAAAGCAGAGTTTATTTTAGTAAACACAATATAGTGCCTGACACGTATAGTTTTTTAAAAGAGGTCTTGAAAAGCTGAACTTCCTGTTGTTGCTGTTTGATTTGGGCTTCAGGCGATTTGCCTGTTGAACTTTGGTTTGAATGGTGCTGTCTTGAAATTCCTTGTTGTCTTGCAGTGGATCTCTCCCTCTTGGTCTGTTGTCAAAGCAGAGTTTCCGTTATCCTGGTCTGTTACTTCTATTTTTGTAGTTTGACCAGAGAAATTTGTGCTCACAAGGTGCAGGCTGCTTTCTCACCACTGTCAAAGGTGATCAACAGTGACACTGAGGTTCCAAGTGACGTGCTCGTCACGCTGTATAGTTTTCGTCCCCAGGATTGCGTCAAGGCTTCCTCCTCACTGGCTTCCAGAATTCTGCTCTTTGGCAAGGCCTCTCGTGGCCACGGGGAGTGGAGGCTAGCCCGAGTCGCGTGGCAGGAAGGCCTCTTCACCCAAACTCAGTTGTGCTCAGTCAGCAGAACATGTGAGTGGTCTTTGTGCGGCTGTCACCCTGTCTCACAGCCAGCCTAACAGACGTGTTAAAACGAGCAGGAAGCAGCCTCTTCCTATGGGTGCGTCTCTTGTCGGGTTCACCGTCTGTTGATGATGTGCTTTATCATCTTCAACAAGTTAAGAATCTGGGTGCATGGGAATATTGGAAAAAATTTTACGGAAAAATTTAGAACCTAAAGGTTCAGTGGTAACAGAATTATAATAGATTTTATTTACCATTTGCTAAGTGCAAAGATATCAGGCAATACCGTTCATTAAAAATATATACATCCATGTTTGAATTCACCTGCTTTCTTAGCTTAAGCAGTAGCCTGCAGCACACATTCTTTCCCATCCTGCTGTGAGCCTGATGTGGCTGGCGATCCTGCCCTAGTGGGAGGTACCGATACTCCACAGATTTTCAGGGCTCTGTGCTTCTCCATCGTGTGTACATTCCCTAGTTTATTCAGCCTGTCCTCTGTTGGCCACATAGGTGTGTCCACCTTTCAGTTGTTACAGAGGTGCTGTTACAGATGAGCGGCTTTGTGCCTACGTCTCCTCACGTTTGCCAGGAGAGTTTTGGTGTAGATGTCCTAGAAGCAGATTGGCTGGATCAAGGGGTAAATGCATACATGACTTTCCTAGAGATGACCCGTCCCCCTCACAGAGCTCATGGTCTTCTGTATCCTCGGGACCAGTGGATCCATTCCTCACAGCCGGTTCCCCTGAGTGGGTGTGGTTAGTCTTTTGGAGTTTTGCCATCATTGAGGCTGATCCGTGCCTCAGGGTAGCTCTAGGTTGTACTTCCTTATGATACACAGAGTGGAGGATCTTTTCAGGTGGGTAAGAGCAGTGTGCATTGTTTTCTATAGCGTTCTTGTCTCTTTCCTTCCTATTTTTTAGAAGCTCTATTTAGGGCTACTAACCCTTTAAGGTTATTTATTAACCTGGGAAAATACTCACAATTTGTTGAGTACAAAAAGCAGAATCTAAATTGTATATTCAACATGAGCCCAAAGAATGACAGACCGAAGTATGTGTGTGTGTGTGTGTGTGTGTGTGTGTATGTGTGTATGTGTGCATGTGCATGTGTGTGTGCAGGAAGAATGGATGTGGTGCAAAACACATGACTGGTGGTTGTCACTGGATGGTGTGATTATAGGTGACCTTTGAATTCTTTATTCTTTTCTGCATTTTCAAGATTTCTTATACTAGCATATTATAAATCAGAAAGGAAAATTTATAAGAAATTAGCAAAAAGGTGAACACTGAGTGATTATCAGTATATTCCTAAACTTCATATTAATTCATGGTATTCACTTACTCAAAAATTAACATATCTGGTGTTTACTATGCCAAGTCATGTTGTGAGTCCTGGAGATCCAGCAGAGAACAAGACAGGTGTGCTCCCTGCCCTCAGTGAGCTTATAGTCTCATCAAGGAGAAGAGACATAACAGAGGATGATTTTAAAACATTCTTCTGTGTCCTGTTTATTACCTGGGCTGACTTGTGGATGAAATTCTCTTCGTAGTGAGACACAGGACTCGTAATGAGATGGGTGGGCCGGAGCCTCACTGAGTGCCAGCACTTGCCTAGCGTGTGCAGGGCCCGGGCTCCATCCCCAGCACCACAAGATAAAATAAAGATGTGTGTGTTTCACCCATGCACATAGATCCGTTTGGCAAAACCGGCCCAAATAACAGAGTAGGCCTGCCCTTTTTGGCTTGTCCTCTGGGAACACCCCTTGTTTTGAGGAATCTGTGTGATATCCTTGAGGAGCTTGGGGACTGTAATAGTGGAACTATAATTTTATGGGGAAGTTACAGAAACAGAAAGTAGTTAAAGAAGCCCTGAAAGAGAGGGGAGAGCTGGGCCAGATGTTAATATGGGGTCCCTCTTTGGCTGACTCCTGTTCATTCTTCTGGGGTCAGCTCAGCTGTCACCTCTCCTGAGGAGCTGTTTCTGCTTCCCACACGTGGGTAAGATTCTCCTGGACGGGCCCCCCATCTCCTGCTTGCCCATCACCACGTCTTAGCATCATGCTCTATTGTAGCTGCATCTCTGCTGTCTGTCTCAGTCCGGCTCCTTAAAGGCAGGGACTTGAACTTGTCTTTTGCTCGATTCCTTGCATGGCACACATCTGCTTCAATGGACACTGGAAAGAGTATGAATGGCCTTTTTGACAGAGCGGAGAGGAATGGGTATTTGGTAACAAACACTTGCATTTGTTTTGGTGAGATGGGATCTGGTGTACTCTTCATGACAGTGAGTACAGACCTTGGAGTTTGCCCCTCAGTGTCCGTTCCTTGCCAGTGGACCCTAAATCCAGTGCGGGTCTGGAGAGCTGGCTCTATTGGCTCCGCGGGTCTTCCAGATTTGGCTCAGGTGAGGGGGGCTACCAGACAGAATCCAGGTGCCTGAGTTATGTATCTGTTCCAAGAAATCCCCGTGCAGGCTTGTGTGGTACAGTGCTCATCCTCGGGAAGCCCTGTTGGCGGAGCTTCCTATGCTTAGTAGAGCAGTGGTGCATATCTGGTCAGTGGCTGATTGGCTCCTTCTTGCCACCATTTATCTGTCCCATTCTTCCTCTTTCTCCACACCTTAACCCCACTCTGTTTATTTGGCTTGACCTTTCCTTATCTCCTCCTCATCTGCAATGTACAGCTGCTGCAGACCAGCCATTAAGGTTGTGGCCTTTTTCAGCTTCCATAACATTCCAACTTTGTTTTGGATTTAGCCTTAGGCTGTTGAATCGACTTAATGCAATTAGAGTGACCAGCTCTTCTGTTCTGCCTGGAACTGTCCCAGGTTTAGTACCGAGAGTTGTGTCCCTGGAAGGCCTCCGGTCTTGTCCGTTGCTGACCTGGGCACTGCTGTGTCACATGGGACTGGGAGATTCTGAAGTTTCATCCTCTAGCACTTCCTTGAATTCAGCATGCAAACTTTTTTTCATCACAGGCTATAATATCAGGTGACATTATGTCATAGGAAATGAGTAATCTCTCTTCCTGTTGAATTTTAGCCAAAGGCTTTTGAACAATACTTGAATCTGGAAGATAGCAGACTGCTGACTCATCTGAGAGCATGTTCTGCAGTGTCCAAGCTTCCTTACGATCTCTGGTTCAAGAGGTGCTTCGCAGGATGCCTGCCTGAATCCAGTTTACAGAGGCAAGTATTTTTTTCACAGACAGACCAAAGACCTGGAGTTCAGGAAGAATCCTGGTTTTCATGTGACCATCCCCCAGCATGTAAATTGCTTTAGAAGGAGAGGGTAGTTTGAAGCTACGTTCTCCAGCAGCTGCCATATCTGCACATGATTCTGCTTATTTCTGAATACACACTTAGAAAAATGGAGGGTCCCCTATGTGTAGCTGTGCAGCAGTCACACCTGAAATGTCTCCAGAAGTTCATGGAAGTGTGAGCTTTTCTTTCCAGAAGTTGGCAGATCCTAATCTAGCAGGAATCTTCGTCTTATTTTAATCATGACATCCTTAAAGGAGCTGAGGGCAAAGATATGAGGCGTAAGCAAGTCATTCTTAGGCACGTGTTTCAGGCATTTCTGAGTCCCAGCCCTACCCCTCCAGGACTTCATTGAGAAGAAACGCTGGACACCGAGCATTAGACTAGGCAGTGAAGTGTAGAGTCTAACACCAACCTTCAAAGTTTTAGGAATTATTACAATGATCATGTTAGATTGGTAGTGGCTCCTCAGCCCTTGGAGAAGTTTAAGGAATCTGTCTCCAGATAGCAGTGAAATTGACTTTATCTCATATTTTGTGTCCTTCTTTTGTTGTTGCCTAATTGTATAGCATCGGGGGATGTTAGTAAAACAAAACCTTTGGTTTAGGATCTTCTTTTCTTTCCCTGAAGATGTTGGGTTTGTAACAGGAGGGAATGGGCCTTTGACACATTCCTAGCAGAGTAGTAATTTTTTTTTCAGGTTTTAAAAATTTTACTTTGTTATATGTGATAAAAGAATGCATTACAATTCATATTACACATATGGAGCACAATTTTTCATATCTCTGGTCGTACACAAAGTAGAGTCACACCATTCGTGTCTTTATACACTTACTTAGGGTAATGATTTCCATCTCATTCGCCGTCTTTCCTACCCCCACGCCCCCTCCCTTCCCCTCCAACCCCTCTGCCTTATCTAGAACTCATCTATTCCTCCCATGCTCCTCCCCCAAAACCCCCACTGTGAATCAGCCTCCTTATATCAGAGAAAACATTCGACATTTGGTTTTTTGGGATTGGCTAACTTCACTTAGCATTTTATTCTCCAACTCCGTCCATTTACCTGTAAATGCCATGATTTTATTCTCTTTTAATATTCCATTATGTATATATACCCCTTTTTCTTTATCCGTTCATCTACTGAAGGCATCTAGATTGGTTCTGCAGTTTAGCTATTGTGAATTGTGCTGCTATAAACATTGATGTGGCTGTGTCCCTGTAGTATGCTAATTTTAAGTCCTTTGGGTATAGACCGAGGAATGGGATAGCTGGGTCAAACGGTGGTTCCATTCCCAGTTTTCCAAGGAATCTCCATACTGTTTTCCAGATTGGCTGCACCAGTTTGCAGTCCCACCAGCAATGTATGAGTGTGCCTTTTCCCCCACATCCTCACCAACACTTATTGTTGTTTATATTCTTTATAGCTGCCATTCTGACTGGAGCGAGATGAAATGTTAGAGTAGTTTTGATTTGAATTTCTCTAATTGCTAGAGAGGTTGAACATTTTTTCATATATTTGTTGTTTGATTGTATATTCTCTTCTGAGAAGTGTCTGTTCAGTTCCTTTGCCCATTTATTGATTGGGTTATTTGTTTTTTTGGTGTTAAGATTTTTTACTTCCTTATATATCCTAGAGATTAGTGCTCTATCTGATGTGCGTGTGGTAAAAATTTGTTCCCAATTTCAGGGCAGTAATTTTTAGTGAACTTTCCACTTTCCTTTGCTGATGATTATGTCAAGAATATATTTCAGTGGTTCATCTATTTTGTTGTTTTTGATGATTATTTAGCAGTAGTTCTTATCTGAAGCTTATACTTAAAATAGGAGTAATGTGATCTTATTTTGTAATTTGAGATGTCTAGGTGAATATAAATTTAAAATTTATGTAATTTGATTATATCCCCTTATTTTTGTAGGGTTTGGGATAAAGTTGTAAGTGGATCCTGTAAAATCTTAGTTTTTGTAGCTGTGGAAATTTTATTAACTTTTAAAATAAAAGTAATGGCACTGAACAATGCGGAGAAGATAACGAAATTCCTGGAAAATGTAAGTGTACTTTATTTGATTCATTTTTTTGTGTCGGGGACTCTTTGTTTTTTTGTTTTGTTTTGGTGCTAGGGATTGAACCCAGGGCCTCCCACGTGGGAATCAAGTGCTCCACTGCCAGCCACACCCCCAACATCTTGATTCAATTTTGAATCTAGAAATGAAGTCAGGTTAGCAAGCCAGATTTCTTATTGCATTAAATTATTTCCGAGAAATAATATAGTATCTTTTTAACACTAAAATAAACGTTTTTTTTTTTTTTTTCCTTAAAACATGTCTTTTTAAAGTTAGCCTCTGGATTGTAATGTGTGTACCCCTGTCTGGGGGCTGCTGGTCTGAGCAGCAAGGCCGTTGCTCAAGTGTGCCCACTGGGGATCAGAGCGCCTTTCCTAAGTGACTACCAAACAGGCATGTTTGGAGATGTAGCTGCAATTTTTTCAATGGAGTAAGAACCCTGATGTCTTAGATTTTGTATATTCTTTCATTTCTGTTACTGTCTCCGGTGTAATCTCAGTAGGGTTAGTCAGTGTGCTAAAGTATTATCTAATACATATTGAAAAAAGACCCAAATGAATCAGCTTTGCCCTCTGAGTATCTTGAAGTATCTTCTACTATATAAGAGGTGAAAGGAAGGATAGCTAGGCCTGCATGAATAATATATCATAGACAGGACCCCAAATCTATCCTTTTTTCAAAAAATAGATGTACACAAAACCTTTGTTTTATTTTTATTTATTTTTATGTGGTGCTGAGGATTAAACCCTGTGCCTTTCATGTACCAGGCAAGTGCTCCACCACTGAGCCACAACCCCGGCCCCCCTCCTCCATTTTTTTTTAATTAATATTAACATTTGAATAGTGGCTTGGAAAATAATTAGTACTAAGTGAAGATGTGTTCATCAAATGAATCATAAACATCAGTGTCTGTGCTGAGTATTTTTCATGATCCTGTCATCCTGTGAACAGCTCTGTGAGGTTGGGCTGTCATTTCCCCCATTCTAGGGGCTCTGAACCCACCCTGAGCCCCACGATCAGTGGGCAGTACAGAATTTGAACCTGGCTGTCTACTTGGTATATTCTCAGGTGACTTTAAAACAATCCTTTTATGCTGTACTTTCTGAACAGTAGTAAAATCTCCCACGGAAATCAGTTTTATCAGTGAGCAGTGAATGAGAGAAGGTCCTCAAGTTCCAGACACACACGTCTGTCTCACCCAGACTGGTTGATGTTCACAGATTCCCCAGGACAGCTCGGATGCCATCGTGAGCAAGGCCATCGACTTGTGGCACAAGCACTGTGGGACACCGGTGCATTCAGCCTGAGCCTCCTGATGGTTGGGGATGGTCTGTCCTCTGGGCACTTTGTTCTTGTCACCAGTCTACTAAGCTGATTGGAACAGTTGTCTTGCTCTGGTGCTCAACGTGAAATTTTTTTCCCCAGTAAAATAATTTAATGAAAAAAGCTGGTGTTGCCGTGTTGTGGATCAGCATCTTCACTCACACTGGAATGCCAAGTTCACTGTTCAAGGGTGGTTAGGAAAAAGCTTCTAGTTCTGGAAGCAGTTCTGTCTGGGGGTGGGTGTACTCAGGAGCAGAGAGCAGCCTGCCCCACCTCTCTCTAATTAGCACCAACTCGTCACTGTTGAAGCTCTATTTCTGGAATAAAAAGCAATTTCCTTTGGTTGACACCTCAGTTTTATCTTTTGTTGGTGCAGAACTTGTTTAAATCTAAGCTTCCTTCTCAGGCCTCATCTTGCTAAATAGGCTTAGAAATAGTCGTTTTGCTCTTTTTCCCTGTGACAGTTGAACAAAGCCTTTATTGAACAAAATATGTCTGGATCTACCAACTAGGCGCGGTGCTTGTTTGGAAGTCGCTGCACCCTTGCGTTCTCCTCACTGGCTGTTAAATGCCGGGTAGACTTGAGGGAGCCGTGCTGCACACAAAGGGCGTGGGAGGGATGGCAGGTGAAGATTAATAGCCAGTGACCCCTGGGCACATGGTGCCACACAGTCGTTACTGTTCACGGGACAGTTGCCGGCTTTGAGACTGGGGAGTGAAATGGGGCCCTTTGTTTCAAATTTACTCAGCTGTCTGACCTGCAAGGGCCTGAGTAGTGAATAGAAGTCTCCACCCCACCCCAGCCCGCCCCTCAACTGGGAGGCAGACGATGAAATTATGGACAGTTATAATCCCAAGAACAGAGCCCCCAAGGTGTAAAATACCTGTTGAGAAAGAGTTCAGAGAAAATGGAGCTGATAAACCCAGCAGGGACCTCTGTACAGCACAGATCCAAGTTGTCCTAAAAACTGGCCACCCACCATTTGTCCAGTGACCTCCTCTGCCCCTGGAGAACTGTGGGGACGAAGAAAGGACACGCAGAGGAACCCCTGCCCCAGTTGTCTGCTGTCTAGTGATCTTGAGGGAGGTGAAATTCACAGAGAGGTGGTGAAGCAGGAATCACGTTACTCTGTTCAAGAGCCACGTGTCATCTGATGAGTTCTTAGTAGAACAGAAGCGATGAAGTCAAGGGATGCTAGTGGCCTCCAGTTCCAGAGGAGAAAGGATTGGCCACCATCTCTGAGTAAGAGGGTGCTGTGAAGGCGGTTCTCCTGGGAACCCCTGCTGGAATCGGGGAAGGCTGGGGTGCTGGGGAGCAGGGCTGGGAGCCAGCCAGGGCCTGGGGCTCGGGGAGTAGGGCTGGAGGAGGGCTGGGGCTGGCTGACCTCTTACCCCACCCTCTGGCTGAGGCCCAGAGGATCTGAAACGGAAGGCTGCTGCTCAACTGCTAGGGACCCAAAGTCAACACAAGTATCGTCTCAAACCTAGTGTGGTAAAGCCTTTCTAGCCATGGGGGTGGGCTGAGGGTTGTTTTTTTTTTTTTTTTTTTTTTTTTTTAAGTGATTGAATTTGATACCATCAAAAGTCTTTCTTATTGAAAAACTTAACATCAGAGAATTTAAAAATCCACTGTGAAGATTTTTAAAAGCCCACGTGGAGTAGGTAAGGGCCCAATTTCATTTAATATCCTAATTTTACTTTGCTGAGAGGTCGAGGGAGGAGCACAGTTCCTAATAAAAACGCCTCCCTATTCCTTGCCTCCAGAACATTCTGTCAGGGCGCCATGGCACGGTCCTCTGTGTTAAAGCCCAGAGTGTGCCCCAGCCCTACTGCTGCAGCTGAGGCGCAGATCCTCCCTCTGCCTCAGAAAAGCGGGGTTTGACGTGGTTCAGTTTGGTTCCTACACTTCTCCTCTGGAGGTTCTTAAATGCAGATGAGAGAAGCCTCAACCTGCTGGGCTTCGAGACTCTGAGGACCCAGGGAGAATTGTGTGTGTGTGTGTTAGATGTGTGTGAGTGTGTGGGAAGTGTGTGTGTGGGGGGTGTGGGTTTTATATGTATGTGGGGGGTGTTGTGTGTGTGTGAGGTACAAGTGGGGGTGGGAGTGTGTATATTTGTGGGGTGGGAGGTATATGGTATGTGTAGGGGTTATGTAGTGTGTATGTGGGGGCAGGGGGCATTATGTGGGATGTGTATGTGTGTGACGTATATAGTGTGTGTAGGGTATGTGGGGGTGTGTGGCCTGTGGGGGGTGTTTATATGTGTGTGCGAACTGGTGTGGGGGTGTATGTGGAGGGTGTTAGGTGCGGTGTGTGTGGGGGCTTGTGTGGGGGGGGGTGTTGTGTGGTGTGTGTAGGGTATGTCTGGTACAGTGCGTGTGTATGTGGGGGGTGTTATGTGTGGTGTGTAGGTGTATGTGAACTGCGATATGGGGGGTGTATGTGGGGGTTTTGTGTGGTGTATATAGGTGAGGGTATTTGTGTGATGTGTGTGTGGACTGTGTGGTGTGGGGGAGTGTGGGGGTGTGGGGGTGTTATCTGAGGTGTGTAGGTGTGTGTGGGTTTGTGTGTGGACTGTGTGGTACAGCGGGTGTGTATGTGGGGGTGTCGTGTGGTGTGTGTGGGCTTGTGTGTGGACTGTGTGGTACAGTGGGTGTGGACGTGGGGGTGTTTGTGTCATGTGATGTGCCTGTGTGCGAGTGGCTCTCTGGGTGGACTCTGGCCATTACGTGGTGTGGTTTTACCTGATGACAGGTTGAGTAGCCAAGTGACGCACTCGTGGCTGTGTGTGGCAGTGGCTTCCGGAGGTGGCCGGGGTCCCTGGAAACGGCTTGCTCTTTGCTAATGGAAGCTCCATGTGGGGCCCAGGGCCCGGCAGGCCTCCCGCTTGCTCTGGCTTGGGTGGCCTGCTGTCTTGATTGCTCACATCCCTGTCATGTGGTTGTCATTTCCCTGCTGTGACTTCTGTGTCCTCAGAGCTGGAGGGAGCACGTCCCCTTTGGGACTCGCAGCACAGATGCCCAGGCTGGACCCCAGGCCTGGCCTTGCTTGGATGGCCATGTGGCAGTGGCTGCTGTGGCGTCACTGCTGAGCATAGCCCAGCCCTACAGCCTCAGGCTGCTGTGGGGTGTGGACATGCGACCGTGGGCGGGTTCCCTGGCTCTGCACTTGGCACAGTGGTCACAGTGGGGCAGGGGGACAGGAGGGCAGGACCAGGGGAGTAGCAGCAGTTGGTGGCGTTCCCTCTGCTGGTTGAAAGGCCGGTTCTCCTTGAGGCTCTGCCAAATGAAACTACCGGTGGCTCTTGGCTCAGGCCCCAGAGCTGAAGCAGGAAGGAGGGATGGGAGGAAGGGGGAGGCCCGGGAGGCTGGCCTTCCCTACTGTCCTCACTGCCCCTCCCCCTCCCCGCTGGCTCCCCTTTCAGCCTGGCCTTGTGGGGGCTCAAACTAAGTGGACAGTCGTGAGATGAGGTGACAGTTCACCCCTTCCCACCTCTGGGGGCTGCTTTTACTCAGAGAGCTGGAGAACGTCATCAGAGAACCGCGAGTCGACTCCAGGAAGCTGTCCTGACTGACCGACCCCAAGTGCCCCAGCAGCCCTCAGGGCTCAGGCCTCGAGTCACGCCTGACTGGCAGGTGTCCCTCCCTAGTGACCGAGAACTTGGGCTGCACACCTCACCTTCTTTCCCTGAGTGCCAACCTAGGCAGTTCCAGCGTCCTCCCTCCCCGTGATGGGAGCCCACAGGAGCCCGAGGGAGGCACAGGCGGGAGGTGGACTGGGTGATCTGCTTCCAGGCTCCTGTCCCCCTCCTGGAGGTCTGGCTCCTTTGTTCCTGTCTTTGTCACTGAGACATGAAATAAACGTGCATAAACCTGCAGTTGGGAGCCAGGTACGGAGCGTCAACTGCCGAGGAAGAAGTGTGGCACCTGCCCTCTTGCAGCTTCTCGTCATGCAGGGGAGAGAGCTACTGCCCACGCCTGTTTTGTCCTGAGCTCCACGCGAGGGAGAAGGTGACCTGAGCCAGCCGGGAGCTCCAGGGCAGGTTAGCATTTCTCTGAGTTGAGTGGGTTTTGTCCCCTCCCTCAATAATGGAAGAAGTGACAAGAACCTTGGACAGGGGAGGGGCCCGGAGCCTCTGCACCCCCCCCCCCCCCCCCCCCCCCCCCTCCCACCTTCACCCAGTGTTGTCTGCGTCCCAGGGTCCTGAGCCTCCTGCCTGGCTCTGACCAGCCCTCGTCCCCAGTACTGGCCAGCACCAGGCCTGGCGGCTGTGAAGACGTTCTTAACAAACATGGCGCTCCATGGAACGTCTGGGGTTTTACCAGCCCCATTGGCAGCAGTAAACCTAGGACCGTCTGCTCTGTCCTCAAGGCCTCACTGAGCCCTGCTGGCTCCAAAAAGCCCCTTGTTGACTTCTGAGCGAGAGTCGCTGTCCTTCCTCTGAGCTCGTGTGGTGTTTCCAACACCACTGAGCTTGGGCGTGTTCAACTCCCTCTTTTGCTTTGGTGTTGGGGTGGAGTCCAGGCCCGTGCAGATGCTAGGCAAGTGCTCTCCCTCTGAGCTGCAGCACAGACCGAACTTGGTTTTAAAAAAGTGTATCTTAAGTTGACACGTAGTAATTGAATATGTTAATGTGGCATTTTGAGAAGTGTACACAACACATACCGATCAGATCAAGGTCATGGCATCTCCATCAGCACATTCTCATGTCTTTGTGTTGGGAACATTCAAAATCCTATTAGCTATTTTGAAAGATTCAGCTAATTGTTGCCAACCCGTTATCCTCCTGTGCCACAGAAGGTCAGAAATGAACCCTCCTGCCAGCTGTGTCCTCTCTCCATGCCTCCCTCCTCGGCCCCTTTGTCTTGAACTTTCCCTGTGGCTGGCTTTGCATGGGATTAAATTTTCAGTGTGCAGAGTCATTAGGCAGAATTTGTAGACAAGGTTCTTAAAGAGGATTTACTCAGCTGGCAGGTAATCTTTCCATCCTCCTGCCTGGAACACATACACAATGACTGGCACTTTAGCAACTGTATTGGAACATGCAGCAACTTCCATAATAAAATAAGATTGGTGGTTACAGAGGGCCCAGTCCCTGACCTAACCAACTCCATTTTGTCCCTCT